ATATTTTTAAGAGGTTTTAAATTTTTTGTTTTCTTCATTTTTTTTTCTATTGCCTCCACGATCACATTTGAGTTTTTTCATTTTATTAACAGATTGTAAGATTATTGGGTTTYYGTATTGTCATATTGTCAAAAAATKTCATAGATAATAAGTAAATATGGAATATATATAAATTAATTAAATATACATTTGGTATTTTATACTATTATGCCAAATATTGTAAATTATTTATCACCTGTAGATTTAACTTTAACAATAATTATAAATAGAAGATAGTTCAAAATTATTTGTTAAATTATGTTATAATAAAATATGACTAAATATTAAAATTATATCTTCAACATTATRTTTTTTACTATTGGGTAAATCATTGAAATTAATTAAATTMTTTAATTGTTTRTGAGTAAAAATATACAAGTAATACATGCAAGAAAATTTAATGAGCATACAAATTTCAAATTGCACRCACCTGTAAATATCAGGGTGAAAATACCTTTGACATATTAATGTCCAATCTATATGGTTATTCAATAKTTTATCTATTAAACTTATTTAGATTTGTTACCTATGTTCCTACTTCCTAGTGTGTAAGAGACAACACATGTAGAGGATATTCCTTGATAAGTTTTAGGTTTTTAATTTTAATTTTTAAGTTTAATACAAAAAAGATGTAGCACAGTGTAAATGCTGCAATAATATTTTTTTATAAACTAATAAATATTGTTTTAGATATGTTATGATTAAGGTCATAAATGTAATTTTACATTTGATATGTTCAACATTTAACAGTTATTCTTATTTATTAGTTCCAAAAATAATATAAGTTAAATTTATGAACACTTGTATCTTGWGTAAAAAAAWATATATAATTAATAGCTGTACAATAATAGATCATTCAAGTATATAAAACTTTGATGTCTTATAATATTTTAAAATATGAGAAAACATGTTTATAACATAACMATGTTTTTATAACTATGACTTGAACAGTATATTATTGGTTTTTCAAAAATATATTATTTTAATTTTTATAAGTTAAAATAATAATGATCTTTGGGAAATAAATTATCAATTTAAAAAAATAATAATAAGTTATACAAAATTACCCTTAAATTTAACATGAAAAAATATCAATAACAATTTGTTTACTGATTAGCTAAAACTAAATAATATTATTTTATGTATGTAAATGCCCATTRATGCATTTTGGTAAATATTAAAAATTATTAATTAAAGGGTTCTTTTGTAAATCTTTTCCAAGAATTTAAAAAACATATCTTGTGATAAGCCTCGTGACAACTGTTGAATATGAGTRCATATTAATTTGTAACTTTCTTCTTCRTAAAGTTCAAATGTGTTAGGCAATTTCAACTGTGCATACAAATCTTTGATGATTGCAACATTGGCTGGATCATCAATACCATAATTATCCTAAAATAWTACTCAATAAGTTAGTATGTCAATTCAAATTGAGTAATATAATGTTACCTCCATAATTTTCTTTTGTTCAGCATTGACTTTTTGCAAAGCCACTACAGCTAACCATGAACATTTACCATCTTCTATGTCTGTGCCAATTTTTCCCATGACATCTGGATCTCCATAACAGTCTAAGAAATCATCCTAAAAAATATTATGTACTTAAATAATTGTAATTAACTCAAATAAACGGTTTATACTTGAACTTGAAAGAAGTGTCCCATTTCAAGCAATATGGTCTTTGCTTGTCGAAAGATTTCTGGGTCRTTAATATTTGTCTGTAATATTATTTTATTAAGTAAAATACAATGAATGTGATCATAAATCTAATGTGCTTACCATGCGCATTGCCAGACACACTGGAAGGAAAAACGAATAATAAGCAGTCTTATATTTCACAATAGCTGTATAATTTTCCAGAGTGTATTTTTCGAGTTTTGTAGATTTGAAGCTTTTCGCAATCAACATATCAAGACACTGACCCATTGTAGTTTTCATTGTAACCTAATTATTGAATTGTATCAGAGCCATGTTCATAACAAACTCAGGCCCTGGGATYTATGTTAGTTTAATTACATTTAAGACCGTAAAAATAAATAGTRCAGATAAAATGAAATGCTTATTTTTTGATACTGATTTAGTATCATATTTTTCCCAGGCCCCTTAAATATTCTAAAAACGGCTTTAACAGTGTAATTCAAACAACATTGAAATTAATACAGATCATTTTTTTTAGTATTTCATACGTCAAAGAACAGCTCCAAAATATGTGTATAGTAAGGCTTTTCCTTGAAGTACTTTTTAATTAACTGGTAAATGGCCTGTTCGAGGAGAACACCATCGTTCACTGCCATTAAACCAATATCATTGTGACGATACCAACATGGACGTCCTCGTCTAGTTATAGCGTTATCCATTATGTCATCTAACACTAATTGATAGGCTTGCAACTAAAAAAAATGAACATATTACACCTATGTAAGTAATTATTTATTGATTTCCCATCTACACTATATAAGTGTATCGCACACATACAATTGCTTATTAAGATAATACTACATACAATTATATTCATAGCACCACCAAACAATAAATAATTAAAATAAGTTCACAAGTGATTAAACTGATTAAAGTACTTTTAATTCCCCCCCCCAAAAAAAAAAAAAAAA